TTTGCAAAGCGTTTTTCAAATTTGCAAAGCAGATTATGAAAATTCCAAATGAGTTAGGAACTCAAAAGAGGAACGCTTCACGTAGTTTACCTGTAATACTTTTTATGCCTGTAAATATCAAAATACTGTAGTGCGAGGGCCGTATGTTAGATAACTTTTATGGTTAATACGTTTCCCTCGTGAAATAAAGTTTCTATTCTATTCAATAACTCATTAATAATTCATGAGGAAAACACAAAGAAAAATCATAAGCGTGTCGTATCTTTATATGTGATAGAGACTTCCCTTGATTTACATATAAACGTTAGCTTTGATTTTCTCGTCTTACACAACGCATTTTTAAAAAATTACTTCGCCAATGAACTTACTAGATCGATCGTTTTTGAAGCAATTTAAAACATTCGCAGTGTGTGTTTCATGAGACCTAAAGATACTCGGCTTCGCCTCGTATCTTTACATCTGATAAAACACTACTGCTCGTGTTTTAAATAGTAGGTAAATAGTAGTTGCAAAACGCCCATTTGCCCTTGTTAAATTTACTTTACGAAGAACATTCGCTAAAGTGCTTACCTTCGTTTAATTTCGGATATATTTTCTGATTCCTTTGTCTGAATCCCCATGAAGTCCATGATAGAGGTCTTCTTGACTCGTTCCTTCTTTGATTTCGCTTTGACAATCTCTTCCGTTTTATTATTAGAAGCGTTTTCCTGATTTTTAAACGCCAGGAACAGCGGACTTTCCTTTTTCTTTTCTGCTTTTGCTTTGACTTTAGCCTTTGTTTTTTTCCTGGAAATTTTTGTGAAAGACTCCATCTTCTCGGGAACTTGAGTATTTTGAAGTTTCGTGAAGTTTGAAGCCGGCACTGCTGGTCCTAAATTAAGATTTCCAAATAAAAATTATTTTGTTTTGTGCTGTTAAAAACATAATACGAAACATTCTATCGTCTTCACGCAAACATAAAATGGCAATCACAGAGTTTCGGACATGAAAATTTGAGCCCTATATCCCATTTCTGCATGGTAGCAATAATAACTGCAAGAAATGAAATGCGTCATGTTTCCAAACTTGGCACTGTCCACCCACATATTATCAATAATGAGCGTTTTCCTATATTTAACTTTAATCTGTTTGTGCTTGACATTAGCAGACGTTGACAGTACTTCTATTTCTCAATACATTCTTACTTTATACTTGTTCTCAATTTTCTCATATATTAATGGTATTAAATATGCCTTCATCACCTATGTAGCTTCTTTTTTAGCATACAGTATGTGTAGTGTCCTGTTCACACTTTGTTTTGATTAAATTCATCTGATTGGTTTTATTTTTATCACGAGATTGTTTCTGTTTCCACTATAGCATAAAACGCGTGTGTTTTCCAGACAAAGGGCCTTTGCTCGAAACGCCGAAATTTTTCAAACATACGGAATAACGAATCTATTTAGAAACACGGCACTGTATGTATGTATGTATGTATGTCTGAATTAACAATTAATCACCGAAGGTGACGTGATTACAAGCCTACATTCACTGAGCCGAAGGCGAAATGAATATAGGTTTGTAATCACCGAGCCTGGGGCGACTAATTGTTTTAGTATAATTTCAGTACTGAAAAGTTTTTATTTATAAATACAACTGATACACGTGTTTATTTTATAAATATAATTTGCTTAAATAACTTACTTTCGTCTAATTTTCAGCCATGTTTTTTGAAAAGCAATAGTTATTGTGAGCATGCAGTAACTATTGTCTCAGAGTTACTGCTGAGGGAGCCAATGAGAATAAAGGCTATTTTTCAATAATGAAAATAAACTAATAGGTAATTGAAATTTGAAGTACAGAGTTTTCTACATTGTTTCCAAATTGTACCGAAAACTATGCTATTACTTAGAGCAAATTATTATTTACTTTTAAACCATACTGTAAGGGTTTTATGGCCTGAAATTTGCAGCAACAGGTTAGCAAAAATTAGTTCCTGCTTCCATTTGGCCAAACGTCCGGCACCATGATGAATTATTACATGTACCTTTAATACTGGGGACCTGTGCTCTTTTAAAGCTCTCTTTCTGGACAACCAATGAAGCGATATTCTCATTTTCCATTAATGATTTCTCACAAAGTTCCAGCTGATGTTCGCACCGTTTGAACAACCTTTTCACAGGAACGCCTTGATAAATCGTCTTCAGGTAGGACACTATCTTTTGTTTTTGACTCTTGTCCATTTCCAGTACAACTTTCAGTTGAATGCACTATACAGAAATTGAAAGATTGTTGGTATTCTCAGTGTAGTATACAAAACAAATACAACTATTGAATATGATTAAGTATGACAACAGCATCCAATTTAACACTCGGCCATCGGCAACTTTACGAGCACTGCACGGCCGAACCTTTATAGCTAGCTACATCAATTTGAGTAATTTCTCACTCATTCTTGCAAAATCAAAACACAATCTTTTACTAATCTGTTACAGAAACAGAAGGAAGTTGCTGTAGTACTTCGCTCGAATATGCTATATGAGGAGTTGACGCGTAGAGGAAGACAAAGGTTAAAGCGTTCATAATTTCATTTCCGCTCGTGCTTCCTAATGTTCTCCTGCCCGTGGCCCAACCCTCGAATCCTTAACAACGCTATATGCTTCACTGTACTGTAGTCACTAGTGCAACACCGGCTTAACTAATGCACGATTTCAGAGGATTTTTCGTACGAAAACATCGAAACCCCGCGTTTCTGAAAGAAAATTTTCTGCACCTTTGAATCAACTGTAGTTTTCTCTTCTGAACAAGAAATACCTATTCCCCTGAACCACGACGAGAGATTTCGCTCCTTAATAGAGCCATTTGAATCTAAAAAACATAAAGTGAACGTAAATAGACGATTCCAGTACGTACGTTAACTTGGCCATTGAGCCTCGTTTTCGTGATTAAGACGTTGAGTTTTAACTAATGGCACATTCTTTACAAACGAGGCACTATAGCCAGGGCTCGAATTTTATCGCGGCAAGTGCCGTAGAGGGAGAACAAAATGCCGTGGATCATTGCGGAAACGACGGCATTTTTCGCCGTATAGTACAATTTTTATACTATTCACTGTGCGTTACTACTTTGATACTTGAATTCAGATGTTGATCAAATCATTCGTAAATCACTATTTAGTCCCGTAGACATGTTTCTAGCTTGTCAAAAATCCAAAGTAACAACAAAATTAAAGTTTTATTACAGTAATTTGAAAAATGCCGTGGAAACTGCCAAAATTGCCGTAGACAGCTGTTACGTTCTACGGCAATGTTTAACGCCATTGCCGTCGATTGATTTCAGGGAAATTCGAGGCCTGACTATGGCAATTGCTAGATAGTATACTTCAAAATAAGGTTTCCGCTTTTATATCAATTTTTAAAATAATTAAAATAAGTTAGGGTTAGGTTAGGGTTTAGGTTGGGGTTAGGTTAGGGTTAGTATTAGGGTTAGGGTTTAGTTTTGCGTTAGGATAGTTTTTTTCTACGTTATAAAAACGGAAACCTTATTTTGAAGTATACTATCTAGCGATCACCGCCTGACTATAGCCAAAGTGAGATACTTTCCGAAGACTGTAATGAAGTGCGAGTAACTGCAAATAAAGATAGCTGTGTTGTAAAGCCTGTACAACTGTACCTGAAAAATATAAACAGAACTTCCAGCGTCGCATGTCCCCAACGAGAGGCCTTCGCCAAGGGCCTTCGCTTGAAAGTTTACGTTCTGCTTATATTTTCAGGTATTTGTATATTCTCCATAACGCAGCTGTCTGTTATCATCTCTACCTATATTTGGATTATTCTAAGAAGAAATGTAATGTATCTTTGTAGTAAAAATCTTCATCTTGATCAACTTCTTCGCCGTCAAAGTGGTCAGATTGGAAATAAGTTTTCCCTAATGACATCATATTCGGAAAGGTTGAAAATGAAAAGTTGATTAAGATGACGATATTTTTACTATAAAGATATATTACTTTTTCTTAGAATGACCCAAATATTACACATACTGTACAAAAAGACCTATTTGGGATTTGTGGAACTTTAAATTTTCCCAAATATAGGAATACATTCATAGCCAAAATATACTTCAAACTTACCAAGCATGAAAAAGTATTCTTCCTTGATAAATCGATTTCTAATCATTGGCAAATTCCACTTTGTATCCTTCTCGTCGTCTTGCTGTCGAACATGGGTAACTTTCGGAAATGGAGCTTCTATTAACTGTACAACCATAGTGGATGGCTTTGGTGTTGGTTTCTGAAACAAGCTCAAGAAGACAGCCATGCTTGATGTTGACACATTGTTGGTTGTAGAATTCTCGCTTGAGTTGACAATGCAGGGATTATCATCTTCATCTTGTGTTGGCAACTTGCTGGTTTGAGAGCCTTGAAGTGAACTTGAATTCTCCTCAATTTCTACGACCTCTAGTTGCGCTTCCAATCGTTCTGCTTCTTCAAGTTTCGTTTTGGCACGACGCCAAGCCCCAGGTAGAAATATTGGAGCAATTGGTCCAGAAACTGCAAAAGAAAAGAAAGATTTTTTAAAAGGACTTTCAAGGCCTTGCTTGTTTGCAACGGGTCTGTCATCAAAACACTGAACAAATAGCAGAAAACTTTTCGTAATTTTTTCCGTTTTAGAAAACTTATTTTTTCACGGAAAAGTTGTAAGTGTGTAGTAAAATTATCATAGACTCAAGCCTTGTTATTATTTTAGCGCAGTGTTGATAATATTTCGAGTATTTTTCGACAGTTTTACGGTATAGCGATGTTTAGAATGATTGTCTTGTGGGACCCCCCCCCCCCCAGGGTGTATAACATTGTTACCTTCTTATAACGGAAGGGTGTATAACATTGTTACCTTCTTACAACGGAAGGGTGTATAACATTGTTACCTTATTTCTCTACTAACCTCAGCGCCAATATGCTGCACAAAAGCTTTCGCTTTAGAGCTTTGCATTAATATATCAAAGAAACTCTTTTTGGGAGTTTCCGCCCAGCTTGGGATGTTTCAGTGTTTTTACGCAAACTGTCAGCCTTTACACTCTCTTCAGCCTTTATGTTCTCTTCAGCCTTTATGTTCTCTTCAGCCTTTACGTCTCTTCAGTCTTTTTGTCATTAAATGTTTCCAAATTGATCTCCTCCGATTCATCCTCAAAATTCTTAGTGCTATTCGCATTAGACGAACTTTCAATAAGGCTCTGACATTGACGAATCATTTCCAATCTCCAAAACACAATATTATTTCCATGTGTCAAGGAAAGCTTCAATTTTGAAGTTTTTGTCATGTCATGCGGACTTTCAGATTTGTCTTATCAGATGATTCCAAATTTGCAATGCCAAAATTGCCACTGTTTTCATTACACGACTTTCAGTGATATTCTGAATCAATATTAATCATTTCCAGACTCTAAAACACAATTACTGTTTTCCGGTGGTAAGGAGAGCTGCGGTTCAGCCGTTTTTGTGCTAGTGATGTCTGAGATTTCGTTAGGAGTTTTTGTATCACAATTTACAATTGTACTATCTGACATTTTATGAGGAGGGTTTCTATCAAGAATTTTTGTGGATGGATTTGTTCTTCCTTCCTTAACCTTCGATGCTTTCTTGCTTTTTGACTTCGCGCTAGCGACTTTTTTTGGAAGGCTGCACGGTTTTGAACTTGTGTCAGTTGACTGCTGTTAGTTTCAAAATCGGAATCACTATCAGGGCAAACATCAATTATTTTCGATTTCTTTGCTTTACTTTCCAAGAAAAACTCCATTTTGCTTTCTTCTCGCTGTGATCATTCTTGTTAAGATCACATTCCCAAAGCAACCATGTTTAGATAAGCACTGTGTCCGTCAATGATACGCATTTGCTGTCGTCGTGACAATCACTCTGAACGTTGTTTTTATATCTTCCGTATTATTATCACTACCAGCACAGTTTGCTTTCTTTCTTCGACATTCGGAATACATTCAGTCATTTTTTGGTAACTTGTCTTCTCACTTTTTGAGTGGCTTTTCTCTCCTAAAATTAATGAAGACAAGTTAACAAAATCAGCAAATGCTGGTTTTAACAAGGAGATTTACAAAAATTTAACAGTCCTCGTGTTTTATCACGCCAGTGGGGGGGGGGGGGGGATGTTG